AAGAAGAAGAAGAAGAAGAAGAAGAAGAAGAAGAAGAAGAAGAAGAAAGAAGAAAAAGAAGGACGAATCAGAGAGTTACTTTAACTGAAGTCACACAGTAAATGGTAAATATTTAAAAATAAAACCTAAAACTACTCCTCTCTGGGGTTTGAGGAGATGGCTCAAGATTGGGGCTGTCCGTAACGTTGCGTGGTACACACTGCCAGCCTGGGTTATGTCTCTCAGTTAATGCTGTTAATGACCTAATCACTGAAGTAGGAATATCACGGAAGAGATGGTTAAAAGCTTAGTTTCAGAAGCCTTGACTGGGTTTATATCTTGCCAGCTGTGTGATATTAGGCAACTCATGCCACCCCATGAGTCTTCATCAGTAAAATGGGACTCACCAATGACAGCCTTCAAACAGGGCTTCTGGGACAATTAAACACAGAATATGTGGAAAGTATTCGGGACAGGGCATGATGCAGAATAATGACTCTTAAAAGTATCAGCAATGGTTTTAACTAATATTTCTTCAATGAGGCATGTACATTTTAACATAGAAATTATACAATATTTATACATTAGCATCAAAGGCACCCACTTTCCATACACTGATCTGCTCTTTCTTTTTTTTTAATTAATTTATTTATTTTTATTTTTTGATTTTTTTTATTAATTACACTTTATTCACTTTGTATCACCCCATAAGCCCCTCCCTCCTCCCCTCCCGATCCCACCCTCCTTCCCCCTTCTTCACGCATGCCCCTCCCCAAATCCACTGATAGGGGAGGTCCTCCTCTCCCTCCTTCTTGATCTGCTCTTTCTTATGTCTAGATGCCTTGCACAGACAGACACACAGGGGGTGGTGCCACTGGTAGATGGAAGTAAAATGACATGCTTACAGGCTACTTGGTGCAACATGGCAAAACTGAATTTTTGACAATATAATACCAGCAAGGCTTCCCTTGAAGCCTCAGTCTTCCTCACATCTCTAAGTGCAGGAGAAAATTCAGGAAGAAAGAGGGTCAGTGTGTTTGTTCCTGCACACTCAGCATGAACATCCCTGACGTTCATAGGATATTCACCATGTTTGTGACTGTGTGGTTAGCCAAGATTGAGTTCCCAGTGGGGAAATAGTGGCATGAGCAGTTTGAGAGTGAAGAGCAGGACACCATGGCCACCCCTGGCCAAGCTGGCCTCCCAGGAACACCACAGGTAAAGCAGGAGGCTGACTTGTTAGTCAGAAATAAAAATGTGGCCATTCCCTGGACTTCCAATTTTACTGGCTTCAATCAGGTCACCACTCTTCATTCTTTTCTTCCTCCTTTCCTCCCTCTCTCCCTCCCTCTCTCCTTCCCTCCCTTTCCCTCCCTCCCTCCCTCCCTTCCTTCCTTCCTTCCTTCCTTCCTTCCTTCCTTCCTTCCTTCCTTCCTTCCTCACTTTCTTTCCTTTTGTGTTATAAAGTGAAGCTTTGGAGTGGGTATGTCTAAATCTTTTCTGGGGTCTAACTACATTGTCTGTGCCTTTCCCTTGGAACTCTGTATCTCCTGTTTTCCACAGAGCACTCACGGGTAGGCAGGGAAGACTGAAATCAATCGCAATGCTATACTAAACGCTCACTGCTCTGGTGAAAGAGGGTTCACGAATCCCTCCTCTTCCTCGCCCCTTTGTGAGTGTTAATGGGAGCCAGTAAGAGCAAGCAGATGACTGATGGTGTCTAAGACACTCCAGATGCCTGTTCTGGACAGCTCAGCATTTTTCTGCTTGCTGTGTGATTTACAGGGCGGCTGGCTGCTGCTCCAACATGCCTGAGGTCTAACTTCTTCGACATGATTGCCCATTCATCACTCATCACACTGGTCATGGAAGCGATTCATTCTACTGATACTGTCCAAGTACCTTCTAGATAGTATTCTAGCCCCAGAAACAGCCTCGTAGAAATAAACCAACAAATGCAGCATTTGTAGAAACCCTGTGTTCCGATATGGAAGATCGCAGATAAACAAAAAAACATAGAAAGAAAGTTGGGGGAAGAGTGTGATTGTGGTGGCTATTTTGTGCACTTGTATCTCTTGCATTTTTTTCCAGTCTCCTCCCCCACCTCCCTTTATCTCTTTTTTTTCTATTGAAGTCCTCACCTCTAGGAACAGGAGTTGGGTGGGCCAGTCATTAGCATGCTATGAAACCCCTGTCACAATGACTAGGGTAGGAATGGGACAGCTCATCCTTGGGATTATACCTCTGGGAGGTATAGGCAGTACTCTCTCATCTTTAATAGAAGGAACCAGAAGCATCTTTCCCAGAGGTGCTATTAGCCACACCCCTTTAAGAGGGTTGACTTGCTTACAAAAAAGAGGATGAATTCCAGGAGAGAAGGGGAATGATGAGTGAAAAACATGGAGAAATAGCCTGCATTGCTCACTGCTAATGCAGTTTGATGAGAAGAAGTTGGAGAGATCCTGAAATCAAGATTGGACTTTCCACAAGGACTCTAACCAGCAGGAGGCAGCTAAGGAAAACTCCACCTCCTATCCCCACTAATCTTTCTCTCGTACCTGGTGTTGGGGTGTTAGAAGGGATTGAGGTGGAGAATCGAGAAAGAGATATCAGAAATGTAAATAAAATAGATTTTAAAAAGGGCATAACAAGTGGCGCCCAGATGTCGGGGTTAGAGTAATGGCTAATGCCGAAGAGGAGACAGCAGGGTACAGAGAAATGAATATACTGTTTCAGGATATGAGTAAACAGTTTACTGCAGCTGCTACTACTGGATTCTCTCTTGCTTTATGCCCAGAGAGGACTCTCTGTTTTTGCTGCATTCTGTTTAAAAAAAAAATGTTGGGAGAATGGTTGAACAAAAAGTTCTGAGTGAATATGGAAAAAAAAATGAGAAAAAATGTGGATGAAATAAGAAAATCGCATTCTCTTGCTGTTGAGAGTTGGCTGTGCAACTATAAAGTTTGCAAGTAGAGACGGAATTGCTTGGGAAGCGAATAGAGCTGCTGGA